TCCGTTAAATATACCCAATCAGCCTCAAGATCTCTCCGTCAAATTTTTGGTAGCAAATAGCATCAAAGTATTCAAAACAAAACACTGCAAAATATGAAGTGACAGCTTGCCATTGAAATCTTTTCAGTTTATTAAATATTATGAAATTATGTAAAACTGAGCCAAAATTTTCAAAAATGCTTGATGTCTGAGTAAAATCTATTTTTTCAGATTAGCTGAAGGTTTTTCCATGTTTACTGCAACTTTTGTAATTCATATGTGATTATATCAACTACCGTGTGCTTATAGTTTATCCTATATTTGCAAACTTGCACTTCCAAACCCTTACATGAAAAAGCCTTTTCACTCAAATATTTGTTCCTCAACGATATTTTAACCCCACTGGTCCGAAACTGTTCAAAAGTTTCAACATTCATACATACAATTGCAGTTGCAGTTCTTTGTTTTAATTTAAGAGTATAATCAATCGCACCATCGGTGATGGTACATTCAACATAACCAGGTATTTAGGGGTTCGTGCAGATTTAACGTGTACACGACGTCATCATTAGGCGCTCTTCTGGCGATGTCCGATTGCGTTCAAGTGCCTTCTGCAGGTACCTCTTCACTACGGTCAGGAGTTGATACCAGCGCGGCTCTCGATTTTTTGCTCTAGGCATGGCATCCTCAATTAATCGCACAAAAAACAAGTCCAAGGCAGAAAAACACACCCGAAGACGAACACCAAGACAAATCTCTACCGCAAAGTCGTCAACAACTCAAACAAAAACAACAGATGATTCACCGCCTGGCTTTGACGGTAAATCGTCGTGGAACACGAGACATCACTGAATTATTACAATTACGTCATTACGAGCATCGAACAGTATAGAAAGGACTATCCAAGGGTAAGACGAGTTCCGAAACCACCCGAAGCGTGTCAAAAAATGGCTGTGACGTCACCAAAACGTTGACCACCACTAGAAATCACTAGCTAGTTACCATCTGGCGGCGTAACACGTGGAGGACACTGGTGTAGAAACAGCTGATCCTTAATTCGGTTACGTTAAGTTGAGCCCGACATCATTTTTCAATAATTACTAATAATTTTAGGTCTATGTCTACAGTAATTGCATTATGCACCTCGGAGAAGTAGGGATTAACATGTTTTACACATATCGGTGTTTTAGGATGGGGACGACATATTGTTTTGATTGCTTTGAAGATATTCATTAACCCATGAATTTATAACAAATGATTACTATTATGATGTAAATAGAGATGAGGAATTGGTTGGAATACATTTTATATTCTATATAACATAAATCAAAACACATGAAAGTTGTCCTGTTTTGTCTGTACAAAAGCATCATGTTGGAATCAAAAAGCAGTCTTGTTTATAATACAGTCGAATTATTACGATTTTATTCAACATTTTAATAGAAATCACTGATATTCTGAGACCTTTGACAGCTTCCGTCAAATTGCATTTCGATAAGGTATTTTCCTATTGGTCCATAATAATAAAATGTTGGTGAAATCGGCCCTAAATCTATCAGTACATATTGCACTACTTTCCGTGAGCTCATCCCATCTAGGCTGGGACATGACGTCTTTTATCTTATCTATACCCGTCGGCTGACCAAACACAGCGTCTCGTCGTACTTACCACTTTTCCACAGGGTATGCAATATGTAAAACTTCGTCGTATTTGATCAATTTTTGTTTAAATGCCACTTTAACCCTTAACAGGAAACGTGAATTTTTGGAACACAAAAGGAAACATGCCGTCTCTCAGACTGCGAACTTCAAGATGTTCAAAAAATTAGAGTAAGGCGAAAAGCAAGCAATAACTTCGCTGAAACTGATACTGGATGTTTATTTTATGTGTTTAATACGTAAAATGCTCATTTCAAAATGATACAAGAACATAAAAGAAACATTTTTATTAACTATGCTAAAACCATACAAAAATAACGCTGTTGTTGCAACATTCAGAAACTAAATTAAAACTATGGAAAAGTCTCAATATTTTTCTATTTTCTAGTTAAGTAATGAACAAGGAAAGTATATTATAGTCAATAAATACAAAAAGAACACAATCAAAATTCACTGCAAGTCTCAAACATTGCCTATATTTATGCAGCTAATACATTTGGGTTTGGAGCATTGAAGACATACAGGCTTCCTACATTGTACACACAAAAATTTGGTCATCCGATGGATCGTTCGGTGACATAAAAAGCAGGCTTTCCTTTTTTCCAAAACCAAATTTTCAGCTTCTGTTGCTGGATGTTCACATTTGCCAAGGATGCGATTTATCGTAAGTCGCAAATCCCGAGGTAAACGGGGACTCTCTAGTCGCTTTTCCATATGCTCACGGACCAGGTTAGCGGCCAACATCTTAGCAAATACCGATTTTTCCTTCTGCAATTCATTTTTCTTATAGCACTGGTATAAAATATACGAGTTCACTACCGATATATCCAATAGTCGGTAGAAAATAACCAGTGGCCACCTACGCGAACGGCGACTTGAGGTACTCTTCGAACATTTTTCATCAAGAGAATCAACTCCACCTTTATTAGCATTGTAATAGGCTATTATTTCCGGTTTCTGTGTTTCCGGATCACAATATTTTCTGTGGTGCATAGAAGATATGAGTATTGTGGCTTTATTTTTTTTGCTTACATGAGACACAATAGTGGAATCTTCTCGAAATCCGTACATTGTTGATCCGACTTCTCTTGATTTGTTGGGTAAAAATGCCGGAGGAATTTCTCTTTTATTTTTCTTCATTGTACCCACATAGGTCAGTTTGTTCTTCAATAGGACATCCATTAATTCTATTGACGTAAACCAGTTGTCCGCTGTAATCTGGCGATTAGTTCCAAACAGAGGCTTCGCGAGACGTAGAACTGATTGTGTGGGTTTGGAATACCGCTTGTGTTCCTCAGGAAGTTCGAAACTATCGGAATCTTTACCGCAGTATATATATGCGTTATAGAGGTAGCTATTCCTTGCATCCGTCAATGCCATAATTTTTATGCCATATTTGCAAGGTTTCGCAGGCATATACATTTTAAATCGACATCTTCCTCTGAAACTCACGACCATTTCATCGACAGTGACAGACTGGCCAACTCCGTACACATCTTGACAGTTCTTTATAAAACTATTAAAAATGAAAGATATTGGTGCTACTGGATCTAGCTTCTTTCTTTCATTCCTGTCATCTGGGTTATCAAACCTTAAGGCTGACAGGAGAATACCAAATCGTTTTATGTTCATGACAGCTCTGAATATATCTCTTCCAGAGCCATCGGTGGCAAAAAGTGTTTCAATGTTCTCGTGGTTGCTGTTGAACACCGATGTATATACTAAGAGACCCAATAGTGCCTTTATTTCGACTAAATCAGTGTCGTTTAGGTTGCTGGTTTGATTTTTGTATCTCTTTCGCATTTCTTTGAGCTTGTGATTGGTCCACTTAACGATATGTACCAACATGTCGTCAGTGAACAAAAGCTGCCAAACCGTCAACGGAGCTGCTTCTTCTCCATATTCATGAGCTTTTCCTCTTAGAGTTGGTACTTTAATGACTATATTGTGCTTCCTTGTACGTGATGATGGTACAACTTCCGAAATATTCCACCTATGACGATTTTTTCCATAGAAATAATTCTGAGCTGGTAAATCCTCTTCATTTCCTTCGGCTCCGTCTTCTGATAACTCACTATCACTTGTATGATCTGATTCCATGTATTCGTCTTCTGAGGCACTGTCTATATCACTAAAGTCACTTCCTTCATCCTCAAACCATTTTAGAACGGTTTCTTCGAACTCCGGATCATCGTATCGTACACGTTTAGAAGGTCCCGCCATACTCGCAAACGCACCTATGCAACACAAATAGCAAACGGGAACGGAAACGTGCCGTCTGACAGACTGCAACAAACTAAAATTGGTCCATATTTTAAGGCACGTTTTGGCTAGACTCGTGTGAATGGGGGTGGGCGATGGTCACTAATAGCTTATGGATTAGATGGGTTTTTACGTCTGTTAGAGGTGCAATAAAAAAAGATACGCTCAGGTATAGAAACGCCGCAGTCTCACAGACGGCACCTTTCCGGTTAAGGGTTAATACTGTACGATTTGACAGATCACGTTACTTTTAGGATCATTTATAATTTGAGATTGTCCGTTTCATCAACTACTTCATTTAGTATTAAATAGCAGATGTGTCCCTCTATTATCTGAGAAGACAATTAGTGAACCTACATGGAAAAGTAGTACAGCAATCTCTAACATGAAAAAGTAAACAAAAACAAGTAGACGATTTCCAGTTCGCAGTAACTAATGGGTATGTTTGAGTATTATTTACCAGTACGAAATTCTTTATATGGTGCAATTTTTTTTACACTTCTGTCAAGGATCAAACGCCCGGGATCAATAATCCTGTACTCTATTCTTCTCTCCAAAATATTCTGTCCAAAAATACCTCGCACATCGGTCGTAAAAACCACGCTCTTCTCATTTTTGCGTTCTCCTCTCCCCGCGCCTCTCTCGTCCGACACCACCGCTCGCATTCCTTGTCCCTTGGCTACACGGTAGTACCAGTGGCGCATCAAGAATCTATGTCTAGTTTGAAGATTCATCACATTCGGCCATCCTGCTGCTGTGTCTGTCCTCAGACCCAGAAAAATCAGCATCTATAAATAAACGATCAATCTAATTTATGATGTTGATGCTAAGTTGCATTACAGTAAGGCTTAGCGTGCTGAACTTTGAATGGTTATTCGAATTGATCAACCATCCCAACAGACACTGAAACGTATTAATTTTACACTGTTATGTTTGAGCTTTCACTTGAGCCTAACTTTAGCTGTTTTTCAATTTATCCTTGATTAGCATTTTGACTTACAATTCATACTCTCTTTTATTAATTTATAACCAAATATAATTAAAACTCTAATTATATAAATTTAACGGACAACAAAACGTCCCTAAGTAATTCTGTTGTATGAGCCTTCCTTCATCAAATTATGTTGTTGTTTGAGCTTACTCTATCTTAACAAACAACAAGACATCACGAAGCCATTCTATTATTTGAGCCTACTATATCCCAACAGACAACAAAATATCATAAAACCGTTTTATTGTTTGAGAGACAACCAAAATATCAAAAACTGCTTTTGTTGTTTGAGCCTACTTATCTCAACTGACAACCAAAACATCATAAACTGCTTTTGTTGTTTGAGCCTACTTATCTCAACAGACAACTAAAATATCATAAACTGCTTTTGTTGTTTGAGCCTACTTATCTCAACAGACAACCAAAATATCATAAACTGCTTTTGTTGTTTGAGCCTACTTATCTCAACAGACAACCAAAACATCATAAACTGCTTTTGTTGTTTGAGCCTACTTATCTCAACAGACAACCAAAATGTCATAAACTGCTTTTGTTGTTTGAGCCTACTTATCTCAACAGACAACCAAAATATCATAAACTGCTTTTGTTGTTTGAGCCTACTTATCTCAACAGACAACCAAAATATCATAAACTGCTTTTGTTGTTTGAGCCTACTTATCTCAACAGACAACCAAAATATCATAACCTACTTTTGTTGTTTGAGCCTACTTATCTCAACAGACAACCAAAACATCATAAACTGCTTTTGTTGTTTGAGCCTAGTTATCTCAACAGACAACCAAAATATCATAAACTGCTTTTGTTGTTTGAGCCTACTTATCTCAACAGACAACCAAAATATCATAAACTGCTTTTGTTGTTTGAGCCTACTTATCTCAACAGACAACCAAAATATCATAAACTGCTTTTGTTGTTTGAGCCTAGTTATCTCAACAGACAACCAAAATATCATAAACTGCTTTTGTTGTTTGAGCCTACTTATCTCAACAGTCAACCAAAATATCATAAACTGCTTTTGTTGTTTGAGCCTACTTATCTCAATGGACAACCAAAATATCATAAACTGCTTTTGTTGTTTGAGCCTAGTTATCTCAACAGACAACCAAAATATCATAAACTGCTTTTGTTGTTTGAGCCTACTTATCTCAACAGACAACCAAAATATCATAACCTACTTTTGTTGTTTGAGCCTACTTATCTCAACAGACAACCAAAACATCATAAACTGCTTTTGTTGTTTGAGCCTAGTTATCTCAACAGACAACCAAAATATCATAAACTGCTTTTGTTGTTTGAGCCTACTTATCTCAACAGACAACCAAAATATCATAAACTGCTTTTGTTGTTTGAGCCTACTTATCTCAACAGACAACCAAAATATCATAAACTGCTTTTGTTGTTTGAGCCTACTTATCTCAAAAGACAACCAAAACATCATAAACTGCTTTTGTTGTTTGAGCCTACTTATCTCAACAGACAACAAAACATCATTAATTTTTCTCCTTGTTCCAACAGATATTAAAGCAGATAAACTTTAATATTTGGACCCTCTTTAAGCAATATAACATTTTATACCTACCACGTAGTAAGATCCATGGTTTCATCTTATCTGCAGCAACTACAGTCTTATATAACTTGTAGTTTTCTCTCAGGTCAACCACCTCGTATCGATCGTTATAGAGAACCTTCGTTACTTTAAAAGGTCCCTTGAATCCAGCCAATAACTCCATTGCAGTCATTCCAATTGCAGCATTAAAAGTTGTGTTCATCGCATATTGCACCGGTTTGACAAACGTATTCCATTTGTTTTCAGCAACGCCTGCAGATGCAGCTATCCTCTTTTTTACAAGTACTACTGGACTAGCATACTGAGAGCTAGATTCACGTACGATACCATTGTAGGATATGAAATTGATAATATGATAATAGCAATATAACGATAACCGTGAAAACATCTCATCTTAGAAGATTTCGAAGTACCGCCCCGTACCATTACATTTTTACTACATGGGCAGTACGTAAACAATTCGATATTGGCAACAATGTCAGGGTAGTATTAAAGTCACTTACTTGGTGACGAAACGACAACGAGTTATCCTCCTTTGGCAAGCGATAAGGGCGATATGATCGGATTGTCGGGGCCAACACCTATTTTTAGAAAAAGACTTATGAGTATCTCCCGTATTCAACCGACTCATGACAACACATGCACAAATCTACTATCTACCATTACATTAATGTACCCCAACTACTATTACGGATTCGTCATCGACTGAATCACGGGACCGTCATCACGACAGACTGATTCTGACCGTCATCACGACAGACTGGTCGTTAAGTCATCACGACAGACTTAATAGGAGTCATCACACAGACTCAATAGGAGTCATCACGACAGACTCAATATAACTCTTTGGTTGCTAGGTGTATGGTCAGACGTGCTGAGTTTAACGATTGTTACAAAAAGACAGTCCAGGAACCGGGATATCACGCTGACCAAGGGCCGTTGTGTCAATACCCCAAATCTCCGACATTACCCCTGAATCAGAGGTAACCGAGCAATATGACTATCATTGAAGTAACAATCCCTTCACACATCCTGCCATGAGATACATTCAGACTCCAACGATTGCCAAGTGAAGATAGTTAAGCGGTCATTAAGACCAAGGACGCCACTTCGACCAAAGGCCACCGTGTCAACATCCAAAGCGCTCCGACATTTCCCCTGGTAGAGGAAACCGAGCAGTAAGTAACATAACTACCTCAACCCAGCAAACGGGCTCCGAAAGTCCCATAACAACCCCCAGAACCTGGAGGCGTATCACCTGCGGATATTCAATAACAAGTCGTAAGCCATAAGTTAAATTATGAAGGTAAAAAGTATACCATCTTTATAAACATGGCTTAAGACATTCATGATCATGAATATAAAACTATTATGGTTATCAATCCATGCAGTACAGTAGAATAAAGGAAACACTCAGTGATAGCTCACCTTTCAGGTAACTAAAACACCACACCCAATAGCACATCAACACCGTAATGAAGTTCACTCTACTTGGTCTGAGAAGCGATGTGATCCACGCGATAATTGAAATGTATCGCCGTCTACGCCAGACTAACAAAGTTTATCCTGGGAGCAGATACCCAGCGAAGGAATGGAATGCATAATGTAAACAGGCGTAAGGGCTGTCGCGTTGAGTCACACTAAGCTGCCTTGTGTAACTTCTGGAAAGGTTTCGTGTGCTACAGGGTTGGACTCGCATGCAAAAAAAATGTGTTTGAGATATTTCGTAAGCTTACATTCGGCCATCCGACATTCACCTCGTCCCGAGGTGATCATTCGCTGCCCGACGACGTTGGAAGTGGGACCCCATCGTCACCACTTTCGCTACCCGTGTCGTCCGAAACACCTCCAGGTGTACACCAAGGTTTCATCCTGTCCACCGCAACCGTCCTCTCATAATTCGCCTTTCTCCCGGTACGGTGCGATCCCCCCATGTCCGATACAACATACCTATCGTTAGGCAAAGCCGCTTTAACAACCAATGGACCGCTATAAGGTGACTGTAATTTCCGACTCGCCCCCGTAGCATGATTCTGCTTTTCGACCAAGACTAAAGCGCCTGGTCTATATTTCCGCGGAGCCTTCCGCTTCTTGTCAAAACTTCTGTTGAGCTGCCTCTATTTTTCGGGCAGCTCTCTCCCTTGTGGCAACAAGGTCTTCGAGGAGTATGTGGACTTGACTAACTTCGTCCTTTAGAACCATATCCACACCTTTTCGAGGTCCATAACCAAATAAAAGTTGACTTGGAGTTTTTCCTGTAGACTTATTTGGGACGTTGTTTATAGCAAACTGAACATTTGGAAGTTCTCTGTCCCACAGGTCTTCCTCCAACGTCGATGTAAGTAAAGCGTTCAGCAACGTCCAATTTAACCGCTCTACTTGTCCGTTCGCCCTGGGCGTCGCTACAGCATTCAGAACATGTTTGATATTGTTCTGATGGCAGAAATCTCTGAATTTCTTGGCTGTAAACGAGCTTCCTTGATCACTGATTAGTACTCTAGGTACTCCATATGTCGCTGACAGGGTTGTGATGTGATCTATCACATATTTAGTCTTTGTAGACTTTACGGTCTTCAGTGCGACAAATTTCGTGAACCCATCAATTATCGCTAAAATGTGACAATTGCCTTTCCTACTCTTTGGGAATGGTCCCATGTGGTCAACGTGCACCGTGAAGAAAGGAGTTGGAGTTTTCGGAATCGGGTGCAAGAACCCTTCCTTTCTACCAGCTGGTTTCTTGTTATACAGGCATGGGATGCAGCAAGAAATATATTTCTCCGCATACTTCCTCATCCTTGGAAACCAGTATTGATCCGTTAAACGATACAATGTTTTGTCCACGGCAAAGTGACCAAAATCATCACGAGCCGCTTTCACTACTTGATGACGCATACCTCATGGCACAACCCATTGTATACCTCGAACCGTAACACGATATACTCGTCCGTCCCTCAAAGCATAGTCCTTGTAGACTTGCTTTTCCTCGTTCGACGTAGGCGGTCTGGACAAGATATCGTGAATTCGCTTGATCTTCTCGTCGGTAAGCTGTCCAGATAATACCCAATCAACCTGCTCAACTCGGAACACCGTTTCCGATTCGGCATTACCGTCAGCACAACCGACTGGATTTCTACCCAGACAATCCACGTGTGCCATTCGAGCTCCAGGTCTGTACTTCACTTCAAAGTCAAACTCCTGGAGTTGCAACCACCACCTAGCAATTCTGGGTATTATTTGCTTCTTTACACTGGTGGCCTTCAATGCATTACAGTCAGTCACTACTATAAAATGAACCCCTAGCAGATATACCCGGAACTTTTTCAAACTCTCAACCACCGCCAGAGTTTCCAACTCATATGAGTGAGACTTCTGCTCACCATCGGTGGCTTGCCTACTGTAGTACGTCACTGCATGTAGCCGCTCATCGGGCTGCATTTGCAAGAGTATTCCTGCAACTCCCAGCATACTTGCGTCGCAATGAGCTTCAGACGCAGCAGCTGGGTCATACAGAACCAAAACTGGCCGACTCAATAAGTTGCTCTGTAACTTTCTAAATGATCCTTCTTCCTGTTCACCTCACCTCCAAGAACACTTTTTTTTTGACAAGATTTGTGAGGTGCTTAGCAGCTTTAGTGTAGTCCTTCACAAAATGCCTGAAGTATTCTGTTAGTCCAAGGAACTGTCGGACTTGGTGTACAGTTCTTGGTTAACGAAAACTCTCCACCGCTTTGTCTTCTCCTCGCCGGGTCTGACGTTTCCATCCTCTATTTGGAAACCCAGAAATGTAACTGATCTCATCAGAAAAGCACATTTCTTCAAGTTCAAAGTGAGACCCTTTTGGATACCCTCCAATGATTCCTCTACAGTGTTAGTATGCAGCACTACATCAAGATATACGGCTGCAATGTCTTACGCCGGCTTGAGCAACCGGTTC